AATATGATTCTTAGACGACCCGCGGACTCAGCATTGACTAATGGCACATTTTTCACGGGTAACATTAATTTTGTAGATAAAAAAAAAAATGATTTTCCGGACAAGGACTCACCGTTGGAGAGGAGCAGCAGCAGAGCGACGGCCACGAGGGAGAAATCCACGTGGCCGGACGGGGCCCGGCGCGTCCTTCTCGCGAGCGGCCGAATCGCGGGGATCGGCCGCATGGTGGCGCCGGCGTCGCTCCCGATCGGGGACGCTCTAAAGTCCGCGCGCAGTGCTCGGCTCCCGGCACCTGACCGCGACACCTTATCGGCGACCTCGCACTCTAAGCGCTTAAGGGAGACTGCCGGCTCAACCGAAATCTCGCGCTTCCCTCGTGCGTTTCCGGCGGGCGTCGGGCGGCTCCGCTACCCCCGCGCGCCCGGCGCGAGCCGACCGCAGGCCGCGCTCCAGGAGCGCGTTCTCCACCCCGCCCGTCGCGGCCGACCGGCGCGACCGGCGCGACCGGCGCGACCGTCGACCCGCGGGTCGCGCAACCCTCAAAGAGCGACCCGGCCAACTGCGCCCCGACGCTAGATCGAATGCCGAAATGCAACCCCCGGGAAACAGGAAGCGCCTTTTCGCGGACCTTTCGCCCCGGGACTTAGAAGGCACGTCCCCGGCGAACGTCAGCGATTTTTTTACCGGCGCCTACTTCCGCGACCGCGACATCCATTCCGTAGAACTCCTTTCTACGGGAACAATCGCGACCGGTACTCCCATTAGGAATCGATAACGACAAGGGTCACGAGTCGTGGGGTGATTTTCACGTGGAGCGCCTTCTACCCCCGAACCGACCCTTTGTCAAAAGAGGGCGGCAGGGCCGACCCTCGAAAAGCGAGCCCGACTAACAAGGGAAAAAGGAAAGTAAGTCCACCTTCTTTCGCCGGGCCTTTCACTGCCTCGGTGGCTGACAAACCGAGAGACCTGCTGGACTGTATCTGCTATCGGCGAACATCGTTTGGACGATACGCCCGGGAAGGTACGCGTCAATGGAACGGGAACCGACCCCTAGGAGCTGGTCCCCAGCCCTAGGGCGACGGAGGCGACGACCCCTCACAAACCCACCGACAATCCTCAAAGAACTATTCTTTGGCCACCGGTGAGACCGGATCAAATACCGGAAGCAGTGCTCAGAAAACGAGGCATCTCATTACCTGGAATTTCGATCAGTCGGAGCATTGTTTCCGAATTTTTGAGGCAATGAATACCGAAGGTATCCACCCTGCCCTTAGATAATAGCTGGTGTCGGTCGTTTCAGGGCAAAACGCGACGAAGTGCGCCGGCAGACCGGTCGATCGACTGCCTTTCCGGGTGCGGGTTTACCTGGACGTCATCGGAAACGTCGCTTATGAAGAGCGTGTTCCCTAACCCGTCATCGGCGGTCAGGGCTACAACCGACCACCGATGTCACCCTCCAAAGGCCAGCCAGGTCGCGCGACCCTCAAAGAGGGAAATCCACCAGCCGGGCCTCCGGATCGACGTCGAATCTGGATTTTCCAGGATTTTTTTCGCATTTCCAAATCGGCATCCTAGATAAGGTATCGGGGAAACCCTGGCAGAGGGTGAATGTCGCGATTTTCTCCAGCGGCACCCCGGCTCCCGCTCGGCAAGCGACGTAAGTGGCACTTTGAATGTTCTTTGAGCCCCGAAAATAGAGAGAAACGGGTAAACCGGGATTCGGTGAGACCGGAAACGCTTGAACGAAGGCCCCGATAACCGTTCTTTAAAATCCACAACCTGGAGAGGATATTTCCCGGAGAAAGCATCGAAACGCGTATCGCGACCCGCGACCACCGACGTCAGCTCCCAAAGGCGAATCGAGGGTGGCAACCCTCAAAGAGCAACCCTGACTAACTACCCGTCGACGCCAGATCGAATCCTGAAACGCAGGTCCCCGGAAAGGCGAGTTTCCACGGAAAATGGAACGCGAGAGATGACTTCTTCGCCGCTCGACGGGCTCTCTCTTTCCGGGATTTCCTCCTTTTTCCGGGGCGCCGAGTCGATACGCGATTTCGACCCCGCTTTCGGTAGGGGGTTCCGGTTCTACCTTACAATGTTCTTAGGAATACTACGGAAGTGGGCACTAATCTAGAAGCCGAGGAGTCGTACGTCTTCTTAAGCCGAACCCAATGGGAGAAACGGACCACTGTGCGACCACTATCGTGGCTGCTTTTTAAAGACATAAATAATTTCCCATATTTTATGGTATGCTTCTGTGCGGGGTAAAAATCTGGATCAAGGGAGGAATTACCAAAAGTTGCTCAAAATGGAATTTTTCGACCTGGGTAGTTACAAATTATTCGTCAATCCTGCTTTTCAAAGGCACAAATAATTTCCCATATTTCGTTGTATGCTTCTCTGCAGGGTGAAAATCTGGATTAAGGGAGGAATTATCAAGAGTTCGTTACAATGGAATTTTTCGACCTGGGTGGTTACAAATTATTCGTCAATCCTACTTTTCAAAGGCACAAATAATTTCCCATATTTTGTGGCATGCTTCTGTGCGGGGTAAAAATCTGGATCAAGGGGGAATTATCAGGAGTTGGTTAATATGGAATTTTTCGACCTGGATCGTTACAAATTATTCGTTAATCCTGGTTGCGATTTATTTGGGGTTCGAGGGGTGCGTTAAAACGACGGCACCGGTAATGCGACCGTTCGGGGAAAGGAACACCCCCTACGTTTGGAAAGTTGGACATTCGGGGAACTTGCCGACGTGAAACGTTTCCGGGGGTGGTTTTTTCTGCTCGCGGAAATCAATTCCGCCGAGGCCTGCGTTCCCCCTCGTCGGTGGAATTAGTTCGACTCGGAGAGGAGGGAAAAAAAAAAAATGGGGGGGCGGAAAGTTTCGGAGTTTATTTATCGTCCTCGATATCGAACGGCGCAGCTGTTTGGAGATTTGTGGGGGCGGTCGGCTAAGCTAATTAAAATATCCCTATTGCGGATGCCACATCAAAGTCAGCAACAAGTATCGACTCTCTGACTTGAACATCGAGTCCCCTCGGCCCAGTCGGCTTCTGATATAAAACCCGATTACACGCAGTCGGTACTCTTCCTGTCGAGTGCAAACTGCGCCCTGAACTTGTCCGAAAGAACTGGAAAGTAATTCCGATAAATACTGGAACGCAATTGCATCCATTGCACCCCTGGAATTTCTTCAGAATTTAGACCCGCGTAGATTTCCTTCGTGGAGGATTTCTTCTAACGTTCAGATTTAATTTCTGATCATATTCCGATCCATCGGTAGACCCCATATCTTACTTGCCTGCAGCTCGCTAATGCAACTGCATCCAGTACGTGCATGCTGAAGATAATGCCGAAGTACGTCAAACATTATGCCGTTAGAAATCAATTTCAATTCATACGCCGGCCTCCGAAATTCATTGCGCTGGAACAATTCCTAATGCTATAATACGCCTAGACGTGTTCAATGATTCAACGATCGATACCGATTTCAGATTTTATAGGGGATTAGCCAAAGCCACCGTGCCAAGTGAATTAGTAATGCATCGCCTCCGCGGCCCTTTTCCTCGAGTAAATCGAAAGACAGTCAGACATTAAATCGAAAGAAACTTCGCGATTTTCACCCCGTTAAAGTGAAATTCGTCATGGTTCCCTTGAAAGTGATTTTATTTTACGAGCCCAGGGGAGCCCGGAAGTGTCGGGGCTCCCCTGTAAAACGTCCAAACTTTCGGAGCACTTGTCAAACTTATTGTTAGTTTCGTGGCCCATTTCGGGGAAGTGCTCGGCCTGGCTCTTTGTTCTCGGTGGAATTTCACGGGAAGCGTATAAATTTTGCGGTTTCTATCTTATTGTGCCCTGCTAGCTAGACCTTGCCATGCACCTACCGAGCGAGTGAAATCGTTGACGTTCAGAAGCTCGGGGACTAAACAGACGTTCTACATAATTCTACGTAAACGTTGCTTTAGAGGGTGCGCTCCCTTTCCATTTTCTCCCGGAAACTTGCAGCCACTTTTTCGAAGAAGTGGAAAATTTTGATGGGTAGACGCAGAGGATGCAATTGACGTGGCCGTGAAGAGTGCAACGTGGGTTAACCGGGGTGAAACATGACGCAGACTTCGAGATCGATTTCCAGGCCGGTGAGAAAAATATCTAAACTGTAAACCCAGCTCCATATTCCGTGCTGCACATTTTTATTTACCGCGTGAAATACTCGGGGACGGTTTCAATGAATTTGCCCTTTAATATTTCCGCGGCGATAATGGAAGATCGCGAGTTGGGAAGCAGTCCGCAGTCCTTATTGAAATATGAGGGAGTGGACGAAATTAATGTATGATTGTCGCGGTGCATCAGCTAGTAAAAATGAGACACTTTAATCTACGTAATGCATCAAGGGGAGAGAACGTAAGGAAAAGAGTTTTTCCTTGCCTTCGATGGAGGGAAATGGCGCGTTATGTGGAAAGTCCCCGTGAACGTGATCTTAAAATCTTAAACATATGGGCGAGAAATTTTTGATAAATATTAAAAATGAGGAATTTATTCATGAACAGTCCGAGGGCAACGCCACCCTAGTATCGGGGTCCCAACCGAGTCTTCATCCCCCTGATGATGTACTTCCAACCCCCACGTAAACCTGCTTTCCTGTGCATCGGTAGGCTACCCCTTGAGGTAATGCAGGGAACGTTTATAAACCCGTCGATAAGTCTAATAAAAAATAAGGCAGATTGATAAGGCCTTTTATCAAAATGCCAATAACCCTACCAAGGTAAAATTTCCACGGATCGCCGGGAAAGTGCAGCAATTTCACGTAACCCCTCGTGGTAACTTTGTTTACGGTTTCCTATTATTTGACACATCCAGTAAAAAGTGACAGCGAAATCCAACCACGAGGATTTCCAGTTCACGTGTCAACAGGGTCAATATACATGAAAGGGAGGTAGTAAGTTAAAAGATGAACCATTTATTTACGTATAAATTGATTACACATGAAGCGAGCACTTCATCTTGATATTTTTACTCCGCCATTGTTTCGCAACGAATCGCGTCGAGTCTCTATCCAACTAACACAGTTTAATACTTTGGCTTAGTCACTACTTTTCGACTAGTTTCATACTATCACAATAAAAAAAGGAAGGACTTACGTCCCACCTCGAGTCAGATAAGACGCGCTACAGTAGAGAGGATACAAAAATGCGCCAAGTTCGCCTTAGATAGTAGGAATGTAAGTCGATGACGTGATGCTGCTCCTGAGCAGGGTGTCAGAAGTGTGATGACTGTTGGAACCCTTACGAGAACCCCGTTTATGGGGGTGGAGATTTAAGGGCGGTAAATTGGGGTTCTCGATTCGGGTTGGAGAACTGACGTGAGGACGCAGAGTTCCTCTGTGCGTTCCGAAATTACCTGGAACAAATTCATTGCACTTGGCGCGAAACTCCAGAGAGTTCCTTGACACCTTTTCCGACAACCATGAACGTGACTCGATTTTTTATGTTCACAGAAAATTCTACGATAAGCTCGTCACCTGTTTCATTGGGCTCCGACACGTCGTCCAACTGATAGTACTCCGATCTGACCGAAAGCGGCTCCTCGTAGTCGACAAATGCAGTGTTATCGAACGCTTTGTCATCTTTCGGCCGAGGCCGAGCAGGGGAGACAACAGGTGGTTCCACATAAGTCTGAACAAAATTAAAAAAAATATACATATTTATATATAAATTGAGTGGCTATGTAGAATGAATGGTTACATTATATATAAATAGTTAGCTGCAAAAGCCTTTACCTGTTCGGGCGGGGTCGCTGAGCATGCACGTTTATGGAACTGTCCATTATTGATAGTCTCATAAGTGTGTTCCAGGTAATGTCTCGTGGTTCCTCGAGGAGTAAGAGTAGCCCACATTACTCTGCTGTCTTGCATGGCATCCGTGGTGCAAGGATAGAGTACCGCCTCGTTCTGTATTCTTCCAGATTTACTCTGCAATCCGGACTTCGTTCCAGGGATCGAGATCGCGCCATTTTTTCCACCCCCGTTACTGGAATTGAAAAAGTTATCCAATCGGCCACGCGGTATAACACAAGGTAATAAATGTGCCCATAATGATGAAAGTGATCTAAGTCATATATTTTTTGTTTCGAAATTACATTGAATTAATTTCGTTTGAAATAATATGGCGTGAAATAACTGATAAACTCATTTTTTTTTTTAATTTTGACTTAGACCACTTTCATAATTATGGGCACAAATGATAAATCTACTCACAATTCGCACTTTAAAAGTAGCGTCGCCAGAATAATGCCGATAAAGATCACCCCCGCGCAGGAGGAAATTAGAACTAGCAACCAGGTGTCGTCGAACACTGTACCTGTAATGAGATCACCTCTGTTAATACATATTCAGAATTATCCTATTTATCACTTGAAGCGAGGTGAACTGGAAAGGGGCAATTAATTTTCTCCCGCGACCACCGGACGAAATGCACGTTTCGGGTGAGAATATTTTCGAGGTAAATTGTTGATTGACCTTGTTGAGGCATCTCAATGTATTGCACACCTTCGGACCGCCAGTCGCAAAAATGCCTACAGGGACTGTCATTGAGATGCAACGGAAATGGCGCGACTTCGGAGCCTGGATAAAAATCGGAGCCGTGTTGTAGAAACGCCGGGATGGGTGGTGGAGGCAAATGAAGTATCGTATCCGGTGGAGGACCCAAGGTGCACAGGGTGCAGTTGGAATTGTTCATTATTATTGCTGAGACGTCCACCCCTGTCATCTGAAAAATTTAACGGAAACACGGGTTCCTTTTTAATCCTCGGATACACATGCGGCGTTAAAGGAAATGGCAGCGAAATCGACGTCGTGGTAAATTTAGAGCAGTGTCCGGGAACTCGAAATTATGAAATTAATGTGAAATTATCCCTTACCATTGATTGAGAACCTAGTCCGACGACAGCATTGAACCGACTCCTGGCATTTCGGAGCGGTACGCGCATGCGCCATAATATTGACCAGGGAGAGAGTATCACATGTACATGAACTTACACTTGACGTACAATTTCTTCGTAAGATCTCATTAAAAATGCCCGATAAATGATTAAACGTTGACTGTTAATAATAAATACACAATGAAAGATTTTATTTTATCACATCTGTAATCGTGTTGTAAAATAAATAACGCCCTCGATGTTATTACCTATTCGTTTGTAGCTACGTTGTGTCGCATTAATTAATCCGAATGTCACCCTTCTCATTAATTCATTGCGTTTTCGATAGGTAATTTAAATACCAAATTTGTTTGGAAAATAAATGAGAGCAAGGTATTATAAATTCTATCAGAAAAACATTTATTTCATGTGAATCGTAAATTTATTTCACCGTTTCAAACGGTGCATTTCCTTTGTTCTTTGAAACCGTGATTTTTTACCTTTTCGATTATTCAGTTTTGTCAAAGGATACGTTTTACCATGGGATCCTTGGAAATTATTTTAAAGGTCGGAAGAGCAGCCGATAGAGGTCCTGCCAACCCTTACCAGACGTTACCGCCCTCTACCCCATCTAGAAATCTGTTTCATCCCAGATTCAGTCGGTAAAGATATCAATAAAATGATTATTTCCATTATACACCTTGTTATTTATCACAGCAATTTTTCATTCACGTCTACCTAAATTACCATTTAAAATTCCCTCGTAAATTTCCACCCTTGAAGAACTGCATCCTGTTACAGAAATTCTCGATGTTCCCAAGATAACCAGACACCAAATTTATTAATATCATTAAACCAATTGACAACTGGGTCATCATCATTTAAAGAAAACGATGTCACGGCATCAACGCATGTTAAATTATTAAAACCGAGTTCAGCTTCTAAATGAAATGCAGCTGAATATTTCATCTGAGATTTATTGCGAGAGATCATTTCGGAGATTATTCCCTCGCCCTCAGTAGCCAGGGTCACTGGTCTGGATAACTTTCTGAGATGCACATTTGCCAACTTGCCCCCAGTTACCGACTGTGTACGACAGTCTGCCACACCGACGACAGGTCATACGAATTTATCATCCCCCAGTGCAGCTAAGCCCAGGTGGTAGATGCGACCATCGTCGCACAGGCACGACTTGGCGTTGCACCCTCCTCGAAACTTCCCAAAGACACATACATGCAAGAACGAGCTCGATCCTTCAAGCCCAAGTCAGAAATCTTCCCCTAGCACACCCTCCCCAAAAATCGGGAGAAAACGATCCGCGGTCGCAAAAATTGGGAGAAAATTCTAAAATCAGATGCGAAGAGTCAGGGGTGGAATTAACGAAGGATCATGATAGGAAGTCGAAAACGTCCGTAGAGGGTTCGAGGGTTGATCAGCATGCGACGAGGCAGGGTGGTGCGAGTTAGGCCGGAGTGACGCTATTCAGGCCCGAGTCTGCGGCTTGGGGGTGCATCGTGACTGGCGGGGTGTTAAAGGGAGCGAAGGGGTTGAATGTGGCCCGAATGTACGGCGACGGCGCTTCCCGAGATGAGGCACGTTGTTTTCTCCGAAGAATATGGATTTTATGCATGAATAAAGAGAGAGGAGAGCAACTCGCGAGCCCCAGGCGGGACCGCCTCGCCACCTACCCCCGCAACTTCAGACGACTAATTCACAGGCCGCGTGCCGCATCCTTCGCCGACGTGCACCCCATAAATATACATGGGCCTCGACATAGCCGGAGAAATGCCGGGCGCACGCCGATATCATTTTTCGCTTTTTCGAGAGCCCCGGAAACCCGTCCGCGACATGTCCCGATCCCCCAGCTGACATTCAGACGCCTGACCGCGCACCCCCCCGGAGGGGTACAGAGCAAAACTCCGTCCCACGTCAAGGGGGAAACTCGGAATATCTCGCGAAAGAGAGGGAAAGGTACCTCGGAAAAAATTTCCCCACGTCCCGGAGATGGAGAAAATACCTCCTGATAAGGTTATCCGGAAGTTAATATCGGGCGCTGCTTGAAATTCTGATATTTCCTGGACGGAGCCGACAGTTAGCGGCAATAAAATTCTCCCGAGGCGATTCGGGGCTCAGGACGATAAAAATATCTCCGGAGGCAATATATCGAACACCGGTGGTTTCTTCTCGAGCGATGCTGCCGTGTCTTCCCGTTTGACAGGTGAAACGTTCCGGCAGACAGGTAGACGCCTACAACCGCGAAGGAGTTCAGGGCTTCCTGCGAATAACGCAGGAAATTTGATTTCATTCTTGTCGGCGGCGCGTCGGTTAAATTCGCCCGACCGATACCGCGACTTCCCCCCGGGGAAGGGAAATTTATGAATTAAAGTAAGATCGGACGGATTTTATCGTCGGGCTCTGGCAGTTTCTGTGGTAGTTCCTCGCTTCTTGCCCAGGTCGCCTCGGTACGTCGAGAACGCGACTTCCAGGGGATCCGGGACGGCGGGAGAAGTCGGGAACCGAGGAAGTAAGTTCCGCCGGGCTCTCGGAAAATTACGGGAATATTTCAGGAGGCAATACATCGATGCTTCTTCCCGGGACAGCCGCGTCTTCCCGGCTGACAGGTGAAACCTTCCCCGGGAAACCGGGAAGACGCGTCGACTCGCGATCGAGGAGTCGTCCCCCGGTTTCGCCCCCTTTGTCGGGACCGTTTTAATGGCGAACACTTTCAATAAAAGCGGTGCACCTCCTGGGAGAATATACCGGCATTTAAAGAATTCCAGAATGAATTTCCAGAGCCGACGTCTCGTCCTCCCGGCCCCTTGGAGCCGCTCTCGAGGCGGCACAAGGATCGCGATGAAATGGTTTTGTGCTCCTCAATAGGAGCCGCGAGTGCAGGTATTTTCCCCGGCAAGATGGCGCCCCCTCTTCCCCGGGCTCGCGAATCAAAGGGTAATTTCGCGGCCCACGTGGATTAACTCGGATCTGGCCGAGCTCTCACCTCCGTCAAAAGCGCGGCCGAAGCTTAATCTTCGAGCGACGACGTTGAATGCCCCTCCGGATTGAGCCGCAGGAATTCAAATTCAAACTCGGTTTGCGTTTTAAGGCCCTGAGTCTGGAGGTACGTCGAGTCTTCCCCCAGATCCCGTCTTCCGCCGAGTAAAAGTGCACCGAGGCACGAAGTGTCCGTAAAATTCTGAGATACGCATCCCTCAAAGGGATGCGGCATAATTAATAACCCATAATTACGACCCACTGGGAAATTAGCATGCGATAGTTAGACGCGCGTTTCTACGCCAAAGACCGGGGAATTAATTATTCTCGGCTTGTCAAAATATTGACAGGTGTGCTCGGGGTCGTTGCACCTTTTTTTTCCGGTTTACAGGCTCTAGTAATCGCCGCGTAATTGCGACAATTCCTTTCGGGGATGATTATTCGGGTCTAATTTTTGGGGACGCTCGTCGCCCCCGGCCGGAGCAGGTGGAGTTGTGTAATTAATCGGAGCCCCGCAATTAAGAGTTGGCCAATTACCGGAGTGTCGGGAACTCTGTTCGGCGACTCGGTGATACTACCGCGTATCATTTGGTCTTTGATGTTGTTTCGCGCAACGCATGACCCTATGCTCCGTCCGAGTTTGGCGTTAGTTTGTAGGAATAATATGACACCATTAGAGAGGCGGTCGTTCCAGCGCGCCTGGGGGTGCTCGCATTAAACGAAGCCGCCATGTCGGAGGTGGGCGATTTTCCCGATGTCTGCACAGTAACATCGGACACGGCACCGTAAACTCGCTTTCATTTATTCACTCGGCCAAGACTTGCCGAACATAACCCTCGGGGGTACTCTTCAGGGCTCGTTCGGAGCAGTCTCTCGCGCCATCAATTTTGAAGCGCAATCTTAAGAGAGATATTAAACCCGCGAGCTGCCTTCCGATCTCGTCCGTCTCTCGAATTGCGAGCATCGGCAGGGGTGAAAATCCTCAGGCACGAGGCAGGGGAGTCGTAAAACCGGGGGAAACGACGTTACGCGACAATCCTGCATTCAGGGGTAAATATAAAAAATGCTCCCCACCCCTCGGGGCGATTAAAATTACTCGGTGTTTCATGCCGACGCCGCCCCTTTCCCCCTCGAGTTTATTTATTATTTATTTCCCAGACCCCCAGGAGATGTCCCGAGCCTGAAAATCCTTCGACCACCCCGGGAGCCACGTTATCGTCCCTCGATTCGACATCCACCTTGCACAGTGTTTATTAAAACGACGCACGGCGCGTCTAGGGGGCTCCCCGATGAACCGGGGGGGTGCACAATCGCGGCTACGGCCGAAACGCGGGATTTCTTCCCTGCGAATCCGTTGGCGCGAACCCGCGAGGGGGTGCTATTCAGAATTATCCCGCGCGGCTCGTAAATGGAATAATCAGCGACACGGGGGAGCACGGGGACACGGAATACGGAATACGGGACAGGGTGTTGTCCCGGTGGTTCCTCTGCTCGCGTGTGTCCCCATTGCTCCCGTGAACACCAGCCACCCTTGGTTGGTGCGGTGATGAATAATCACTGACTCCGCGACGAGTCGCTAAGTTGTAAGGTTGACGAGTGAAAACGGTGGGGTCGTGCGAAGTACTGGAAACGAGGCGCCACGAGACAAAGAGCTATTAGAACGGCCAAGTCTGCACCCCCCGTGCACCCCTGCACCCTTGCACCCCTGCACCGGGTGCAACGCGGCACGGAGCACACCGGCACACCTAGTCCCTGTGAAAGACCTCGCCCGGGGAGCGGTTCGGTCTCGATCCCCGTGAATCTGCCACCGAGGGGGTAAAACCTCACGAATTCCCTCGGAAACCCACCCCTCGTTCGCGACGTACGACGTCCAACCCGTTAGAAAATATCGGGAATCGCGCGCACCAGGGGGTCGGGCACCAGATATCCGCGACTACAGGGTTCCGAGTGAACCCAGAGAAACTACCCCTGCGAACACTGGGTATTATGTTAAGGCGTGTACCCGTAATTACGCTCCGCTAATATGGCCTTAGGACGTGG